TGTCCTTCTTTTGGTTGTGTGAGGAGGCACAGTGTGTCTACCTGTGCCTTCGTCTTGGCTGGAAGCCTGAGAAGTGCATCATAACAGATTCTTAAGCACATTCTCCTGTATGCAATGTACTAGCTGGATATCTTTTGGCATAGTTGCTATGTGTTTGCCATGGATAGCACACAGGCTGGTGTTTCAAAAAGACTAACCAGATAGGCCTCACATACCTCCTGCAAAGCACCAGTAGTTGCTCTCTGGAAGAGCAGATTTGTTTTGAAGTCTTGAGCAATTTCTCACACCAGACACTGCAAGAGAAGTTTGCAAATCGTAAGTCCAGTGGACTTCTGATAAAGTCTAACTTCATACAGTGCCATGGTACCAGGCCTGCAACGATGAGGTTTCTTCACTCCTCCAGAAGAGGGCACACCTAGCAAGAGGCTTTTGTAGCCAGTTGCTTACATGGTGCTTTACCACCCTTCCATATGAAGGATGATACCTCCTTACTTACTTACCCTCCTCCTTCGGCTGGAGCTTGGGGAGCTAGAGGTCACTCTGGTGTTTGAGAGTGATGCTGGTGCAGTGGCATCTGTGAACACCTGTTAAATGACTTCTGAATATGGTGCCATCCTTTGAAAGGCCTTTCTCTCCCAGTGTAAGAGTAAAAAATGTTCTCCCATGGTTTGTTGTAGTATTTTTATAATTTCATTTTTAAAATTTTTATTTTAATTGTTGTTCAAGTGCAGTTTTCTGCCTTTTACCCCCATCCCAGCCCACCCCCCAGCCCTCCCCACCTCCCTCCCATTTCCAACCCCCCTTGTTATTGTCCATGTGTCCTTTATACTTGTTCCTGCAAACCATTCACCCTTTTCCCCTGAAATTCCCTCCCATCTCCCCTCTGGTATAATTTCATTTTTTATATTAAAATTTTGATTTTTCAGGAATTTGTTTTGGTGTAGGGGTGAGGTGTGCATATTTTATTTTACCTCAAAGGGCTCCCCATTGTCACAAGATCATTTATGGAAAAATACACGTTGACTGAAGGGCTTTTGTCAGAATACTAAATTAAAGGGTGTGGATGTTCTGCGTTTCTAGATTTTTGGTCTCTTCCACTGAATAGTTTGTTCATGTATGCACCAGTTGCTTAGAGTAGTTTTATATGTATGGATTTTGGACTTCCAGCTTTCAGAACTGTGAGAGAATGCATTTCTGTTGTTTTAAGTCACCCACTTGTGCTAACTTGTAAAGACACCTGCAGGAAACTGATATAGTGACAGAGCTGGGATTTGAGTGCAAGCCTTTGACTGTAAGCCCTGTGTTCTGAATAGGAGCTCAGGGATAGCCAGCCTTGTTCCTGAGATAGAGTGTTTGTGGGGGAGGTGTAGGGGAAATTCGTACAATGCCAATGTCCTTGGGCCCCATCAGCCTGTGGGTGTTAAGGGCCAAAGGGGTGTGCTGAACTAAAAGGGACATTTTGTGTCCCTTTAGTTCTCCCCTTTGCTCTTCTTCAGCCTGTCCTGTGTCCTTGAGGCTGACTTCAGTGGCCTGTCTTGCCCTTTGACTTCTGATTGGTTTTGGCCAATGCTAGGCAGCAGCAAGGAATTGAAAGGTGACCCCCTCCATGCTGGGCCACAGCTTCTTAATGGCTGTGCCTTTTTACCTAAGGTCACAGTTCCTATTCTGTGGCTGCCTACAGCTCCAGCTCTGGCCCATTGGTTCCAGTGACCACTTCTTCCCTTTTCCTTTTCAGGCCTACAGCTTTCCCCATACTAGCCCTGGAGTACTGCACCCCTCTCTTACTGGTTTTCCTTAACCCTGCCCACATCCCCATAAAAGATCTATTCTTTAAAATTCCATCAGCCATCCCTTTGAGAGGACTATGTGTATCCTATCAGATCCTAACCAACAGGGGGTGCCACCACTTCCCCCAATACCTAGAGTAACTCCAGTTTCCTTGGCTGTTGCCCCCACCTGCTCATGTGGAATCACCTTAAGTCTTGACAATTCTATGTGCCATTGGGAAGCCACTTCTCTGATGGGAGGTGCTCCAGGAAGGCAAGCTGCCCAGGGACCCTGGCAAAGTTGTGGAGGAGCCTCTCTCCCCTCCCGGTTGCTCTACACAAAGATCCCAAGCAGGCTTCCTGGGTCCCGGGGCTCACCACCCCCACCCCTAGGAATTGGGCTCAGAATGGTCTGAGCTAGGTGGGAAGGTCTTCCAGTGACAGAACTGCCTGTCTCTCTGGAGCCTGGGAGGGATAAGATCTGTTACTGTCAGGATCACAGAGCAGGCCAGTCCTTTGATCACAGGGAGTTTCTCCCTGAGGCTCCTCATTCCTTATGCAAACAGGCCCATGGCAGGGTGTGCTACCTGTTGACAGACATGCCTAGACATACCTGATTCTCTTTAGTCTTGACCTGGGATCTTTCTATACAAGGTGGAAGGTAGATTTGGGTCAGGGTGAGGAAGGCCTCCAAAACAATCAAACAAGTTTTAACATAATATTGTAGTCAAGGAATGGATAGATGTATTCAAGCTGGGGAGAGACTGGGATCAAACATTGTTTAGCGCTTAGGGTGTTGCCATCTGAGAGCCTGGGCTTTTGCTCTCCCTCTAGCTGAAACATCATCCCAACCAAAGAGACTCCATTACCGCACCTCGTTTGATTTCCAGCAGAGTGTGTGCAGTACCATTTCTTGAAATCATAGCTGTTTTCTTCTTTCTTCATTTACTCTGCAAAGGCAGGCAGATACCGGTCTCAGTCAAGGCTCTATATCTAGGGCCTGGCTCATAGTAGGCACTCAATACATAGGTGTTGAATTTGTTGAATGAGTGAATGAATTTGGCCTCATTTATTTATGGCCCATCTATTCCTTAGATGAGGGAGCCTGGAGAGGTCAAGGGGTTAGCTCCCTGCATAACAGTGTACAATTCATGGCTGACAAAGCTGGGACTAGAACCAGGATATCTAACTAACTCCACTATATTCAGGGGGAGAGGCAGGAAGGGAATGGGTTAGCAGGAGAGTTAAGGAGAGCCTGATGTAAGAGCCAGGCTGGTGGCATCTACATGGCAGTGAAATTCAAAAGGATAGGAAGGAGAGAAATCTCTGGGAATGTATGGTGACATAGTGGTCAGAGCTGAGGTGGTGGAGAACTGACGAGATTTAGGGAGGAAAAATGAAAACATATTGGACGTTTACTCCTTGCCAGGCAATGTGCCGGGTGTAGTACCTCTACCTGTGTGGTCTGATTCACAACCTGTGCTGTAGGTATCATTATCCTCTGTTTTATGAGCTAAGGGAAATAAAGGCACAATAATTTAAATAAATTACCCACTTTTCGCATTTATCAAGCACTTGACTCCTAATCTTGACCTATTCCCACCCTCCACATGGGATTTGAACATAGGATTAAAGCTGAGAGTTTCCCTCTAAGATGCTTGAGGTCCACAGTTAATTGGAGGAGAGCAGCAAGAATTAAGTGTTTATTAATGGAGAGCAGGGGTACTTGGCTGTCAGCTCGCTTCAGAGGAGTAACTGAAGTACACAGTGAGTCAGGAGCTTCTTTTGATAAAAGGGAGACCATTTAGAGGCAGGAAGAGCGGAGAGGTACAAGTTCACCCTGGGAGTCTGCTTCCAGGTGTTGTAGAGGGGCAGGTTAGGGACATGACAAGTAGCAGAGCTCCAGGCCTTGGAGCCAGAGGTGATACAGATCACCTTTTTCCTTATCTGGATTCCGATCTAGGGAGAAGCAGCAGAAGTGGGTGTGGCACTGGGCTGGTTGGGCCCAGTTCCGTCCAGACTAGGAGTGGTGTGAGCCCATCTCCCCCCCCACCCCCACGCTGGGCCGCGTGCTCCTGGCAGTGGGGCAATCCTGGTCCTTGCCTGTGCACACATAGAAACACGGTGTTCCTTCAGCCCAGATGTTCCATGGCAGCTCTGGTTTAAAGCCCACTGCCCTTTGTCCCCATAGGTACACTTGTCCCTGTCAGACTGTGGTTCTCGGTTTGGGTTCGGAACATAAAGGTCACTGAGGCCCAGATGCAGACTGTGCTCTCCACAGAGCTAGGACCTGTTTGGGCCACAGGGCTGCATAAGGTGTCCTTTGTGCTGGGGATGCCTCCAGGGCCCGGTGTTGGAGGTGGCCCCCAGCCCAGGGCCAGTCCCTGACCACTGATACCCAGCAGCTGGCTGTGGGTCAAGGTCAACCCTCAGAGGCTGTGCTACCCACCAGACCCTCACTCCCATCCTAAAGCCTCAGGGCATAACTCAAACTTGCTATTTAAAAAAAAAAAAAAAAAGGCTTTCATAAACAAGGCAAGTCTGAAAACTGCGGCAGGGAGGCCCCTCCAGCCCTAGGGGCTTCAGGAGGGTCTGGGCGGCCTGCCAGCTCCTGGCTGTCCCCAGACTTGGGGGGAAGGGTGGGGCGGCTGTGCTGTTACTGTCTCCTGCCCGCCCGGTTTCCAGCCCAGAGTTTCTTTGGGCCCGGGCCTCCTGGGCTCCCCACCCTGTCCTCTCCTAACCCTTTCCTTGAGGGAGGGAGGAGGCACAGGTCCGCGTTCTCCGAGGAGGCCTGGGAGGCGGTGGGGTGAGAGGGAGGAACCGAGAGAAAGGCCGGGTCCCTGAAACCAAGCCCCTTCTCGTTCATCCGAATGCCCCTACTTCCCCTTCCTTTTCCTTCCACTGGGGAAAGGGGAACGTGGAAGGAAATTAACTTTGACCCCTAGATTCTGGCTCTGGGCCCAAAACTTGGGTGGAAGGCAGAGGTTTCCAGCACCCTTCGTCTGCCCCTCAGTTCTCACTCCCCCCCTTTAAGCTGCCCAGCAGTCGGAGAAGGAGTTCATCCCGGAGGGGCTGGCGGAGTGGTGTAGGGGGAAGGCTGGGGGCGGAGGGAAGGGCGGCGGGAGACCGACCGGTCCCACCCCCAGCTGCAACCCCTGGCAGGAAGAGATTGTCGCTGGAGCCGCCGAAAGGGACGGAGCTCGGGAGGGCGGGTGGGTCTGCGGGCCCGGAGGACCCCGGCGGAGGCTCCGGCACGCCGCAAGAGCAGGGGGCGTGGCCTGGGCTTCTCCGACCCGGGGCTGGGGAGCCTCCTGCACTGGGACCCCGGTGACACTTTGGGCTCCCTCCTTGCAGGAGCAGGCGGGGCAGCCATGCTCCTGGCTGGGGGCGACCCTCCCGCGCAGGAATGGGTCATGGTGCAGATCAAATCGAAGCCCCGGGTGCAGCGACAGCGGCTGCAAGTACAGCGCATCTTCAGGGTCAAGCTGAACGCCTTCCAGAGCCGCCCGGACAGCCCCTACTTCTGGCTGCAGCTCGAGGGGCCCAGGGAGAACATGGGCAAAGCCAAGGTAAACAGCTTCTTCCCTCTCCCACCCGTCCCTTCCCTTCAGACCCCTCTCCCACTCCGCTGCCACCCGTGGAGACAAGGGTCCCTAGAGTCCCCGGGATCTGGATTCGGCAGAATGGCGGGCAGGTACTGGACCATCCTCTCCTCTTTCCAGATCTGCAGCCTTGGTTCCTTCTCTCTGGTTTCTTCTTTCTTTTCGGCCCCACCCCTTTCTCGCGTGCCACTTCTGTCCCTAGAGTGCCCTGAGAGAGGCTCCCCAGCGTGCGAACCCCCCCGCCCCCACCAGCCTTCCCTGGCCAGGGCCCCAGCGTCCACAACTCCCCTCTTCTATCTGGGGAAAAACTTAAGGTCCTGCATTTCTATGGCCTCTGCAACACACCTCTTTGTTCTTCACCAAGAGGATCTTTCTATCTCTTTTTAAATCTCCTTAAATCCTGGGCTGTGCCATGGAGCCTCTCAGAGTGTTGGGGCTGGAGGGGCCTTAGAGATGTTAGTAAAGCAGTGCTGGCACTTTGCGGATGAGTTATCAGGGACTGGAGAGGGTCAGGGGGCCTGAGTGCTCGGGGTCAGGTAGGTGGGGGTGGTGGCGCTGGGACATGAACCCAGAGCTCTGGGTTCCCTGCTCCACCGTCTTGATGCCCTAGGCAGCCTGTTGCAGGGGCTCAGGGGTGGGGGTGCCGCTGCTCTGGAAGGCACCAGCCCTTAGGGATGGGTTGAAATCTGGAAGGAGGGCCGTGGGCTTTCAGATGAAAGGACCTGGTGTATGGCACTGGGCACTGGAGAGGCCAAGACGCAGTGCTTCTCCCTGGCTTCTCTCACAAGCTTCTCCTCCACTTGGGCGTCTCAAGCTCCCTTTGACCCCCAATCATGGCCAAGGTCTCCTTCTTCCCTAGGATTCCTTTATCTTATCTTTTCCCGGCAGGAATGCTACAGCCTCCCTCTTCCCCAGACCACCCCAGCTGGGTCCATACCAACATCCCAATTGGTCAAGGCCATGGCTGGGGGAGGTCCAGAAGGCACTGGCCAGAGGGCAGGCAGACAGACTGGAAAGTTCCTCCCTCAGCCCCTCTGTCGAGCTGCTGCATCAGCAGTTTTTCCAGTTCTGACAGAGGTGCTGGGGGAGGGGTGGGGTGCCTGCCCCTCGAACAGATGTGAAGGAGCCATGAGATGAAGACTTTTCAGTAGCTGGGATAGGGTGGGTTAATAAGAGGAGCCTTTGGGTTGTTTGGGGTTCTTAATCTTTTTGGTGCTTTCTGAGGTGCCTAGCTCCCCAGCTTCTGCTTCAGTCCTGGATCAGCTTCACCAGGCCTGTCCACTCCCACTCCCACTGCCTCCTCGGGATCGGGCCCTCACACCCCAGGCCCTGCTAATGTGACCAGTGGCTCCTCCAGCTCCCCACACCCTGTCTTCCACTGGGGAGAGGCACTGTTTAAGATGGAAATACAGCATGAGGGAGTCCGAGGTAGGGCAGGGAAGGTAGGGAGTATAAGGCTTGTCCAAGGAGTTAGGAGATCCCGGCTGAAGGTGCTGCCGCCAAGGTACACCAGGACAGGGGTGTGGTAGAGAGAGTTGGAGTTGGGGTTTGCTCCCTTCTAACTGGGTGACCTGGGTCACATCAGTTACCTTCTCTTGAGCCTGTTTTTTCATGTATAAAGTAATATAATAACACCCACATTATGGCAGGGTTGTGAGAATCAGAGGAAACCATGCATGTTCACATACGTTTGCAAAACGTGCAGAGCTGTAGAGGATAGATGTCAGTTGTTGTTCACTAGCTGTGCAACTTTGAACAAGCCCTTTCCCTCTCTCAGTCTCCTTGTTTGTAAAGTGAGAAGCTTGGATTAAATGCTTTCTAAGGTCGGTGTAAGGAGGTTTTGTGGTTTCTGTGTAGAGGTCCTGTGGCTGACCCCGATTCCAGCTGCAGGGACATAGAGTCATGCATTTTGATAATGGCCTGTGATACACAGGCCAACTGGCAGAGAGGCCTCAGTGAGACTGGAGGTTGCACGGTGTGGAAGGGTTGTGGATAAGGATGGCCTGCTGGTGAGGAGAAACAGGGTCAAGAAGGATTTGGACGTATCTGGAGAAGGGCCGGGTTACGGTCCTACATCATATGTGGCTGGTTTTCCAGGAAAAATTTCTGACAAACTCTAGAGTGTCTTTACATTGTTTTGTTGTGGTGGGATTTAAAAAATAAAAACATTGCTAGAATCACATTCCCAGGCAGCAAAGACAAACACTGGGTGGTCTGGCCACTGAGGTGAAATCAGCAAGTGGAAAGGAGGGTTTTAGTAAAGACCCGAGTTGCCAGGGACAAGCCCTTTTGTCCTCCTGGGCAGCGCTGTGAGGACGAGAGGAGAGGTGACATGTTTGCTTCTCCCTCTTTTTGGAGGCTCTTTTTGGAGATGGGAGAGGGCATTGATTGGGAGGCAGAGGCTGGGTTCAGGGAGCTGGGAGATGGGGTGTGGTTTGGCTTGGCTGTCAGATGGGAGTTCATCTATCCCGGCTTCACACTAACTGTGAGCACAGTGCCGTGGACACTGCCAGTGGCCAGGGGTATGCTGGAACTGGCTCCCATAACATTTCAGGGAGTTTGCAAACCAGTGGCCTCCCATTGGTACTTTGAAATTAGCATGGTGGGAGTCTTTACACTAGAGAAATTGGCAAATGTACCCTGGACCTGTGGCTAAGCTGGTTGGAGTGTTGTCCCTGAAACCTAAAGGCTGCAAGTTCGATTCTGGTCAGGGCACATGCCTGGTTTGCAGGTTCGGCCTCTGGTTGGGGCATATGCAAGGCCCCTCTCCCTCTTCCTCTCTCTCTAGAATCTATGGGTATGTCCTTGGGTGAGGATTTAAAAAAGGATTTCCAAAATATTTAAAAAAAATAATAAATTGGCAAATGCTACAAATCAGGGCTATCCCCTAGTTGTGTTGTGGGCACATTACCCTCTCTCTCTCTTTTTTTATTGCTTCAGCCAATGAACAGGAAACTTTATTGAGGCCCCAGGGTCACAGGGGTCGGGCAGAAGGCTGCCCATTGGCAAGGCTGTGGTGTGGAGGCCTTATTTAACCTTCTTGGTGGGCATGGGCTGTTCTTGTGATCTGCGGTCAGCATAGGAGTGCAGGCGGGTGGAACACTTGCGGCAGGTCATCTTGTCGCAGCTGCACTTCTGGGCGAGCTGGCCAGGGGGTCTCCATGATGCCACCTTGCAGACGCAGCACCCAGTGCAGGGTGGACTCTTGCTGAATGTCGCCGTCTGAGAGAGTGCGGCCACTCTCCAGCTGTTTGCCCGCAAAGATCAAAAGCTGCTGGTCAGCTGGGATGCCCTCCTTGTATTGGATTTTAGCTTTGATGGTTGCAGTGGTGTCACTGGGCTCAACCTCGAGAGTGATGGTCCTGCCAGACAGGGTCTCACAAAGATCTGCATCTCAGTGTCTGCTGGGGGGTGGGGCACTCTGTGCCCTTGTTGAGAAAAAGGAGCTTTCTTCCTTATTTGTTTGATTATTTATTTATTTATTTAGAGGGGAAGGGAAGGAGAAGGAGCAGGAGAGAAACTTTGATGCAAGAGAGAAACATCGATCAGTTGCCTTTTTTACACACCTTACCTGGACCAAACCTGAAACCCAGGCCTGTGCCCTGGTGGGGAATTGAACCTGTGACCTGTTGCTTTGTGCGCCAATGCCGAACCAAGCCAGCCACACCGGTTAGAGCCCTTCTCCTTTTTTTTAAATTTCATTTTTCTTTTATCCAGGTAATTAATAATTGAAAAGTCCAGTAATTTTGGACTCACAATAGAACATAATGAATCCCTGCCTTGTCCTTCCCAACACGACTCTCTTCCGTGCCCTTCCTTGTAGACATTTGTACATCTCCACATTCCTAAACAAAGTTGTAGGTACCGTTAGCTTTTGATGAATCCATTTTAGATATTTTTTACTTCCTATTATTGTAGGTGAGGATGTAACTTCCTTACATTGCCATCTCCTCTATATCTCCAATATAGTTAATTTTCAATTTTCTGTTAAACCTATATTTAGTATTTGCATCATTATACCTATGCAAATATCATTAACCTCTGAGCATTGAAGTGTACTATGATTGTGTTTTCTTTCTTATTTTGTTCTACTCAGGTTTAGAACCCCTTGCTTTTTAATGCTTGTTTTTCTTTGTAGTTATTGCTAATTTTACAATGTTCAGTGGCCTTGCACTATAGTTTTTACAAGGTCAATCTATCAGTTGCTCTGGCCTGCATAGCTGTCATCCTGCGATTTCTGTTTGCTGTCATTTTTGACATCTCTTTGCCTTTTTTGTTGTTGTTGTTGTTAAATGTCTTGTTTCCTGAGCTGAGTGTCTTTCACTTTCTTGGGTTGCTGTCCACACCCATCAGTAGCTCCAGCAGGTTAGAAAGATGGCGCAGCGGTAAAGGGCATGCTGATGACTGCCCTCAGCATGCTTGTCTCTGTGTCCTTCCCTCCAGTCTGAACTGGCTGTCCTCCACGCTTGCTGACATCTGTCATCCTAGAACAGTGCCTGGCACATAGTACATGCTCAGTAATGCCTTGTTGAATGGATAAACAAATTCCGTAAGTTCTCTTTATTATTATCCTGAAGACTGCCTTTGCCTTTTTCCTATGTTGGTCTCCTTTCTTGTTTTTTTTTTTTTCTTCTTCATTTGCTGGAAAACACTCTCCAATAGCTTCCTGAGAAAGACTTCATAGGGGGTAAATGTTGGAATTGCGTGTCTGAAGGTCACTTGATTGATACTTTGACATTGAATTATTGTAAGTGGAAAATTATTTTCCTGCAGAAGTGTAAAGGCATTACTCCACAGATTTTTTGCTTTTTAGTTGTTTGAGGCAATGTTGGGTCCCTGGTCCTTTGCATGTGAAATTTCTCTCTGAAAGTTTGTAGTTTCTCCCACTGTTCTGAGGTTTCCCAGTGAGATTCCCTTGTGTGGGTCTGCCTTCCTCCATTGTTTGCTACTACTGTGTTCAGTAGGTCCTTCCATCTGAACGCTCATGTTCTTCAGATCTAGGGCATTTTCTGGAAATTCTTCGTGGATGATTTTCTTCCCTGTGGCTTCTGTGTTCTCTCTTCCTGGAACTCCTATTCAGACATTGGACTTTCTGGACTGACTGGTTCACTTTTCATATTTTTTCTCCTATTTTCCAACTCTGACTTTTTGCTTTGCTTTCTGGAGAGATTTCCTTAACTTTATCTTTCAACCCTTTTCTTGGGGCTTTCATTTCTACCATCATATTTTTAATGTTTAAAAGTAATTTATGTCCTCTCTGAATTCTCTTTTTAAAAAAAACTTTCTATTTTTGTTCAGTGTGTACAATATTCTCTATTATCTCTCTGAGGAGAGTAATGATAGTAAACTTTTTGAAATTTTCTTCTCCCTGTCTACTTTCTCTTTTTTCAAGTTGCTCCCCCTTGTATATATATTTTTTTGTGTATCTATCTCACATTAGAAGTTTTCCTCATATGTCTGGTCATATTTGCATGATTAAGAGTGAAGAACAAAAAGAGTCACTTAGGAGCTGAGGCTGAGGCTTCCTGATTTTGAGCTTGACTGTACAGAGATATGGGGGCACTGTCTGTAAGGGAACCGGTTTGGTGGTCTTTGCTCTTGGGCTGGCTGGACTTCTAGAATGAATTTTTCTCTTTTCTGTCCTGGAGGGTCAGGGTCTGGCTGCTGAATCTCTAAATGGGAAGAACGAGTTTCTTTGCACTCAGTTTTCATTGTAGATATCATTATTTGGCCCTTCTCCTTTCCTCCATGTTTTCTTATATGTTACCTACACCCTCAAGTATGCTGATAAACCTCTAATCCTAGGACATGTTTTCAGCTCTCTAGAGAACAAATTTTCAGTGGGTAAGGAGGTACTTGCCCAGCTTATATATGTGTGTACGTTTAGGGGGGTTCCTGAATCTAACTGCTCCTCAAATAACTTTTCCTCAGTCCACCTTTTTTTATGTTCCCCTTCACTCCCAATTCCAAAGTTTCTTGGTGCTGCCATTTTCTGAGGCTCGTGTATTCTGCAGTATAATTTTGGGTGGTTCTGGAAAGTAGACAGTGAATGGCAACTAGCTTACGAGAAAGAAGAATCCTAAGTCAGGTGTTAAATAATAAAGCACTTTGATCAAGTGTAGAGCAGTGTTGAACTATTGATTTAATGTATAAGTTGACAAAGGATCTGCAGGACATTGGGCAATATATTTTTACAAACACACAGCTCTTTTTCTGTGCTTATTTTGTTCCTGCCACGTCTCTACTTTTTCTTCTCTTGGAGGAAAAAATTGTGGGTGGACTTTGTGTAGGAAAATTGCTCCAGGTATTTTCCGGATGTAAATGCCTGTTGTTTACTTTTCTTTCTTCCCTTCCCCTTCCTCCCTCCCTCCCTTCCTTCCTTCCTCCCTCCCTCCCTCCCTCCCTCCCTCCCTTCCTTCCTTCCTTCCTTCCTTCCTTCCTTCCTTCCTTCCTTCCTTCCTTTTTCTTTCCTTGAAAATATAGACAGCATTATGGTTAAGACCCCAGACTTTGGAGTCAGAGAGGCTAAGAGTCCCAGCCCACTACCTGTGTGACCTAGCACATGTGCCCATCCTTGCCCATCTAAAATGGGGATGATAGTACTTCCCTTACAGGGCTGAGAGAGGAATCAATCAGATAATGTGTGGCATGTAGTAAGTGTTCAATAAATATTCAGATTTATTATTTTAAAAAGTATTTCAGTCCCTATGTATCTTTTAGTTTAAAAATATTGGGCAGTTAATGGTACAATAAATATTTAAGCTCTTTGCACAAAAGAAAGAAACCAGCCACCATCTCCTTCCCCAGCATGTCTTCATGTTTGAATATTGTTTTCATGTGGTTAGAATGTGGGGTGCACGGGGTGGAGAAGTCTGTTAAGTTCTGTGAGAGCGATCCCACACCTGGTCAGACTCCCCCTTGGGTCCTGCTGAGGTTGCGGGTGGGAGGGTTTGGCTTGGGATGTCTGTTTTGAACTGGCTTTTGGACTTATTAGAAAGGGGTTAGACCTGGGCCTAAGTACCTGGGTGCATTTCGGGCCCTTTGGGGAAAGGGTTGGCAAGTATGACGTGGGCCTCTTCTGTAGATGGCAGAGGTAAGCACAGGCTGGAGCAGGGAAGGATGACGGGCTAGGCACTGAGCAGAGGGCCCGGAGTGGTCTTCAGGATGGCTGCTGGAGATCCAAAATGGAACATTTGTTTTCTAATGGAACTGTTTGGAGAGAGCAGAGTGAACGTGACTGCTATCCACACGGAGATATGGAGCTGCAGGAGGGCGAATGCAGTCAGTGAGGGCGGGGTGGGGGGACTGATGAAGAGGGAGTGCTCATGCTCCCTTGGAGCTCCTGGATTCGTGCTGGTGGGACTCAGCCATGCGGTGAAGGAAGCCAACCTCTCCCATCCCAGGGACTGCTAAAGACTGAGTGTGCAGGCCCTGCAAGCAGGGGGACTTGGTCTGCCCAGAAAGCCAGAGGCCTTTCTTCTGGTACATACATACTGTGCATATCTGTGAGGTTATCTCCTGGATGCTGGCCCAGCGATTTATCTCCTCCTTTCCTCCTTTGTCCCCTCTGGGCAACAGAGTTACCATGGTTACGGGTACAGATTGTGCTATAGACTCTCTGAAGGTGGATTAAGCCAGAATCCCACAGGATTATCCTGTTGTCATGTGTAGTCAGCCTGAGGAAGTGGAAAGAGCCTTGGTTTCAAGGTCAGACAGATGTGGGTTGTGGTCCTGGCCCAGTCACCCTCTAGCTTGAACAAGCTGCATAGCCCTCTGATCCTGCAAAATGGGAATAGGCCATGCCAGGCGCTAGGCCCAGCACTTCCTTTGTATTAACTCACTGAAGCTCTGTAATAGCCCAGTGAGGCAGAACTATCATCCCCACTTTACTGATGAGGAAATGTAGGCACAGGGAGGGTAAATAACTCGCTCCAGGTCACCTAAGTTCCTGGCATGTGGAGGGTGCAACCCTCCTCCCTCTGGCTATTTCACAATTCTGGAATGTCAGGGTAGGAATGGACCTTAGGAGCACCTTGTTTAACCTGTCATACAAGTGAAGAGGCTGAGGCCCCGAAAAGATGATAAATTTCCCACAGTTAACCTAACTTACTGAGGTCGAATTGGAAGTAGAACCAGGTCCCTTGAGTCCAAACCCAGGTGCTCCCTTCTCTCCAGGGCTCCCCCATTCTGTCAGTTTCCTGGAAAGAAATGATCGTGTGAGGAAGCAGGACCAGGAAGAGAGGGGGTGGCCATGGGGGAGTCACTGGCTTCTGGGAGGCAGGGGGAGGGCACCTGCTTGGTGAGGTTGGGCTTTCTGCATGGGGAAGTGTGAGCCAGTGGCCACCTCCCGAAGGGATGACTGCCGTTGTGTTCTCCTCACTGTGGCTGCAGGAGTACCTGAAGGGCCTGTGCAACCCAGAGCTGTGGAAGGAGGTTCGCTACCCACCAGCCCTGCACTGCACCTTCCTTGGGGCCCAGGGCCTTTTCCTCGACTGCCTCTGCTGGAGTACCCTGGCCTACCTGGTGCCCGGCCCCCCTGGCTCCCTAATGGTGGGCGGGCTGACCGAGTCTTTCATCATGACCCAGAACTGGCTGGAGGAGCTGGTGGGGCGACTGCGCTGGGGCCCTGCCCCTCTGTTTACCCCCCGGGGGATCTGGGAGGCTGAGGTGACCCGGGCCTTTGGGGCTTTGATCTGGATCCGTGGCGACCAGCATGCAGGGGAACTGCTGCAGCTGCCCCCCGCGGTCCAGGAGCTGCTGCTGAGTCTGGTGCAGGATGCTGCGGGCAAGGAGGACATCATCGAGTGGCTCAGTCGCATCAGCACCTCCAACGCCCGCTCCAACCCAGAGGTCCTGATCTGCCTTCCCCACCAGCAGAAGGAAGGCTTGTCCATGACGTCTGTGGGAGATGGTCCTGGGCCCTTGCTGGAGATGAGGGCCATCCAGAACGGGAGCACAGAAAACTCAAAGAGATTAACCAGCCTGGGAGCTACCTCAGGACAGAACACACAGCAGGAGACAGCAAACCAGCTGGTGCGGTAAGTTCTGGGGAGTCAGTCTGGCATCTCTGTCCCTGCCCCTGCTTCCCCACCCCAGGGAAAGAGTTTGGGACCTAATTGGTCTCTTCACCTTTCCAACAAACTTGGGCTTCCTCCAGGGTCGGTTCCAACCACCAAAGTGAATCGGACAGTGCTTGTAAGGAAGGGCCGGTGCCAGCCGCCAGCAGCCAGGATCCTGCGATCCACTCACAAGCCTTGTTGCAGCAGAGGCAGGTCCAGAGGGTGGATGACAAACTCCCCTTCCAGCCTCCAGTGTCGGCCCTGGGTGTGTGTCCATCTTGGAAGGCCTGGGCCCCAGGGCCAGCCTTTGGGCCCTTGTGGCCAGGGACTATTGCTGCAACCTTCTGGAGGATCAACGAACTGCATTCTCTCCACCTGGCCTGGCTCCTGTCCCAGGCGTGCTTCAGTCTCCCCTTCTGGCACAGGCCGCTGGGCCCCATTCAGTTCAAGCTGCCAGGGCAGAGTCCCTTGCCCTTAAACCTGGAGTGGAAGCAGAAGGAGCTTGTTCCTTTGCCCAGTGTGGAAAGCCCAGATTGTAGAACGGAAGTGGGGCCAGGAGGAGAGGCAGCCCTACAGGACTGCTCAAGGGCAGAGACCTCCCCAAAAGTCATGAGTTTATTGGTGGTCTCAGGGAGCTCGGCTGTAAAGGACAAAGCTAGCCCAGGACTTCCACAGGTAGGGCCACCTTTGACCTCTACACCCCAACTCGAAGCTGGAAGTGAGCTGGGGGACCAAGAAAGGGTACAGTGGAATTGTAAGGGGCCAGAAGGAGGGCCCGTTCCAGTGCTGCTGACAGGGCAAGGGGTGCCTGCAACTCAAGGGGAACCTGTGGATCAAGGGAGGCTGACAGCTCAGTCAGTACCTGACGCTCAGACAGTGCCTGATACTCTTGAAGTGCCCGTGACTGCCCCAGCGCTCACAGCACAAACTGCACCCACAAACCCAGTGCTGCCTCCAGCCCCCAAAGTGCCTACAGCCCAGATGATGCCGGCAGTGCACTCAGAATCTGCAGCCCCCAAAGTGCCTTTGGCTCCCACAAAGCCAGCAGCTCACAGGGGGCCCACAGCTCAAAAGGCAGCCGTGGGTCAACTGGCATTGGCAGCTCAAGTGGTACCTGCAGCTCAGAAAATGCCTGCAGCCAAAACATCACCTGCGGGTCCCAAAACATCGAAAGCTCAAAGTGGGCCTGCAGCTAAAACAGGGTCCACAGCTCCCAAAGCACCTGCGGCCCCCAAAGCACCTGCGGCTCCCAAAGCCTCCAGAGCTCCGAAAATGCCTGCAGCTCAGAAGGCGCTCACAAATCCAGGGCCGGCCTTGGATGCAGCCAAGCTCCTGAGAGAGGTCCAGCCTTCCTCAAGGGGCAGTGCTTCCTTCCCAAAGGGCAAGGGGGAGGCCAGGAGGCAGGGCCTCCAATCCAGCAGCACTTTGGCTCCCAGTAGTAAGCAGCCCTCTCAGGTGGGTGGGCTCCTGGGGGCTTGGGAGGGGGCCCCGAGGCAGCCACCTCGACAACCGCAGGCAAATAGCACAGTGACCAGCTTTCAGAGGTACCACGAGGCCCTGAATACACCCTTCGAGCTGAACCTGTCGGGAGAGCCTGGGAACCAGGGGTTGCGGCGAGTGGTCATTGATGGCAGCAGCGTGGCCATGGTGTGAGTAGCATGGGGCAGGCTGGGCATGCTGGGGAGCTGGGGCAGGGCATCCTTGGGTGCACAGTGTGGGCATTCCTTTAGACCCCTGTATATGAATGACGTGGGGTTCACATGGGGAAAAGTGGAAGGGAAGTGGCCCATGCTGAGTGGCTACTGCTTGCGAAGCCGTGTGCGTGGAATTGTCACAGCAGCTCTGCAAGTGCAGATTCCTGTTTTCCCTCCTTGACAAAAGCAGAAATGGGCTCAGAGATATAGTGGCTCTTGCCCAAGGTCCCAGAGCCAGTAAGGGGTCCAGCTGGCCTGTGAGTTCAGATTGCCCACTGCTGAGGCCCAGGCTCTTGCCACTGCAGCCTGCCTCGTGTACCATGGCACCAGTCCACCCCGGGGCCAGCTTTCAAATGTGTAGCCGGAGCTTTAGGGCCCAGCGCAGGCCTCCTCTATGAAGTCTTTCCTGACCGACCCTTAGAGATGGCCCTCTTTGCACAGCACCTACTGTGTGTGTGTGTGTTAGCACAAATATATGCAAAACCACTTAATGTACCAACACAGTAGAGTTATCTGTGCTGAGCACACTCCCAGCACACAGTAGGTCGTCCGAGAATGTTTGCTTCCAGCTCTAACCTAAACTCTGTGAGTGTAGAGGTTGCCTTCTTCCCCTTGCCCTGGAGACCCCTACACACATGTGCCCATGCACACACATGCATACCCACACAGTAGGTGAGGGTACCCAGTAGGTGCTCATGGAATGTTTAATGATGGAGGGAAGGGAGAAAGGCGTTGTCAGTGCCTGTGGTGCTGATGCTGGTGCCCTGGCATTGCCCGCTATGCTGCCCAGGCCCTGAGGGAAGGGGAGAGGCAGGGCCATTCCTAGGTCAGGAAGTGGCTCCCTCACGTCCCGCCATGCCCGCAGGCACGGCCTTCAGCACTTCTTCTCCTGCCGTGGCATTGCCATGGCCGTGCAGTATTTCTGGAACCGGGGACACCGAGAGGTCACTGTGTTTGTACCCACCTGGCAACTGAAGAAGAACCGGAGGGTGAGAGGTGAGTTGTCCCTTCCCCCTGCTCCTGCGGCAGCCCCCGGCTTTTCCTTCCCTGCCTCTCTGTCTCTGCCATGGCCTTTTCCATGCAGCCCTTCCTCTGACGATCTCTGTCTTCTGCCTTTCACTTCCAGAGAGCCACTTTCTGACGAAGCTCCATTCCCTCAAGATGCTTTCCATCACCCCCTCCCAGCTGGAGAATGGCAAGAAGATCACCACCTATGATTACAGGTGTGCCAGTCCCCAGGCCTGTGTGGGGCTCTGGGAACTGGGCTGGCGTGTCAGGTGGGGTCCTGCCTCGTCCGATCTCCGGAGATGGAGGCAACATGTCTGAGCGGGTCATTTCAGAGAGGAGGGCACGTGACCCTCTGTAGGCAGAGAAAGGGACACAGCGAGAGAGGGCTCCAGTGTCGGCTGTGCCCGAGGCCAAGGGGCATTCCTGACTTTGGGGCTCTGCAGCTCCATTGCCCTTAGTTAACAGGCTTCCTTCCCCCTTGACCTATGAACTAAGGCCCGCTGCCCTGGATGGGGTTAGCCCAGGTGACTCCTGGTGTGTCGAGTGAATTGCTCCCCCAAGCAGCTGATTTTGAGTTGAAGTTCATGTCCCAAGGACCTGCTTCAGTCTTTCCCTTCCCCAGCCCTGAAACCGGGAGGAGGTATGTGTGTGGCTATGTGGGGTCGGAGCTCTGGCTGGGCTCTGATCATGGTTAGACTGGCCCCTATCTCCTAGCTAAAGCCCAAATGCCTCCCTACTTGTCAGTCTTAAGCACCTAGTCCCCAACATGGCTGCACAACCAGTGTGCCCACGGGGGCGTCTGTGATGCAGCTTCTGTGGGGCAGGAAGGCCCTGCTGGAGTCCCTGGGCCAGGGCTGGAGTCCATGCTGGGCAGACATGGGTCTTGGCTTCACCAAGGCACCTCCTAAGCTGGACAGGGAGAAATTCTGTTTCTCTCCACTTTCCCCCAAACCTGGCACCTGCTCAGCGTTCAGGCCTGGGAAGGGCTGGGAGGGCAGCTCAGGCATCTCTCCTTCAAGATCGAGGCCCCTGTGTGAGGTGTTTAAGTACCTATAGATTCTGGCCTGGGTTCTGGGGAAGATGGCTTTTCTGCAGAAGGCCCTCTGCTGGGCACTAGTGGAATAGCATGTTTGGGGCGGCCCTAAAGGCAATCTTCAGAGAAGGCCTGAGGAGGTGGCCTTCGCTTTCTTTCCTGGTAAAAGGGATTAAGGAGCAGTGATCCTTGGGAAATGGGTTTCTTTATTCAGATGTGTGTTTTTATGTGTGTACTACATGAATGTTATGTGTTGGTGAAGGATAATAATGGAAAATTTGTGCGTATGCTGTGGGGCAAGCACCGAGCTAGATACTTTGATATGCTGTCATTCAGTTAACCCTCATAGCAATACATGGGAGGCATTTCATGCTTTACGGATGCAGAAACTGAAGCAGTAAAATGCGCGTCTGGATGTGAACAAGTGTGTGGTTTGTGTGGGTGTCTGTGAATGCCTATGTGTGAAATGAGGGTTTGTGTTTGTATATACATTTGGGAGGCATCCATCTCAGTTCCCCTCCCAGGGGCTAGTGGTGATCCCAAATGGTATCGCACAGATGGGGGGCGGGTGGGCTCCTGAGCCCTGGCTTCCCACTACCAAGGGCGGCCTTGGTCCAACACAAAGTGAAGCTGCAAATTCATTTTCCCAGAGGCCCAGGAAGGGACGGGCTGGTCACTGGTCATCAGTGACTCCCTCTCTCCTTGCAGGTTCATGGTGAAGCTGGCAGAGGAGACAGATGGCGTCATTGTCACCAACGAGCAGCTTCACATCCTGATGAATAATTCCAAGAAACTGATGGTCAAAGATCGGTGAGGGGGTTGGGCTGTTCCTTCCCTTTGATTGTCGGGCAGCCCCGGCAGCAGGGTGTTGGGGCAGGGAGAGGGTCCTTGGGACAGTGTCCACCAGCACCTGCTGAGAAGAGGTGTGGGTCTCTGCTCCATGGAGATGCCCAGGCAGCAGTGGGGTGTGGGCGGGTCAAGGGCTCCCCTGCAACTGTCTCCTCTCTTCCCTGTCCAGCCTGCTGCCCTTCACCTTTGCGGGAAATCTCTTCATGGTGCCCGATGACCCCCTGGGCCGTGATGGCCCCACCCTGGATGAGTTTCTGAGGAAGCCAAACAGGTAATGGGCCTCCCCTGCGTCCTAGCCCATCCTGCGACTGACTAGAATCTTCCCCTAAGTGCCAGCCAGCATTTATGTAGTGATTTGACTTTTTCACGTCTTTGTACTTCTCCCACTAATTGGTGCATCCATAAACCACTTCCAGTATGGTTTTGTGGTTTTACAGGTTTGCACATGTGCTTGAAGATTATGTGTACCCTTGCACAACTGGCATTTGTATTCAATTCTTATTGTTTTTGCCAGAGGTTAATTCACGTGGCTCACTTTAGTGGCTGCATGGTACTCCATCACCGGGGCACCCACCGGTATGGGATCTCCTGTGGAGGGCTGTCGATGGTTTCCTAGTACTTTGGTTTTGGAACTGGTGCTGCGGCCTCGTTCTTGTTCCATTGTTTGCAAGAGCACCTGTGTCTAGAGTCTATGCCAAGTAGAATTTTTTCCCACATTTATTATCTCCTTTGGTCCTTACAACTTAAGTTTGACATGCATGACCACTACCACAGTCTAAGACTCAAATACTTTCCCAAGGTTCCTTTGCTGGTGCCAGCAGAACTAGTTTGCTGTAACTCAGATGCTCTGGCCTTTGCCTCCTCTGAGGCACCTTGCTGTCCCTCTCCCAGTTCCCTGGGCTCACAAGAGACTGTGGTGGATTGTCTGGGCAGGGCACTGCTTCCTGGGCCAGTGTCCCCCAGACTCATGCTCCCAGTTTGGGGAAAAAATGATGTGGTTGAAGTTTGTCTGCTGGATAAGCTCCCAAATCCATAGTCAGGCCTCCCTCCCTCTCTTGACCTCTTCCTGGCTCGTTCATCCTGGCATCAGGTTGGAACTAGCAGTCATCCAATTCCCACCAAACCACTGACTTAAAACTGGTTGAAAATATCACTTGGTTGTCCTGGCCGGTGTGGCTCAGTTGGTTGGAGCGTCACCCCATATCTGAAAGGTCGCTGGTTCAATTTCCAGTCAGGACACATACTGGGGTTGTGCGTTCGGTCCCTGGTCTAGCCGCATGTGATCCCCTCTCTGGGTGTGTGTGGGAGGCATACAATCAATGCTGCTCTCTCACATTGATATTTTTCTCTTTCCTTTCCTTTCTCTCTAAAAAGTGATACAAAAATGTCCTCAGGTGAGGCTAAACAAAGAAAATGTCACTTGGCCACTGAGGTTTTTGACTGGATAAGCTTTTAGAGAACACTGGAGTCTCATATTTCGGCCTGGCACATGGTGGAGGTAGAGGGAGTGCCTGTGAGCAGGGTCCTGCCTGAGGGTCTGCTCAGTCGCAGGCTGGCACTCTGCCCAACCTGAGCACTAGGGTGGGGCCCTGCAGGGCTTCCACAGGTGTGGTTTTCCCTTTGGCGGACCTCCTGGGGCCGGCTGTCCCTCTCCCCACTCCATGGGGCCCCTCCGCTCTGCTGTTTCGGTACAGGTTGGACACCGACATCGGCAACTTCCTGAAGGTGTGGAAGGCTCTTCCTCCCAGCTCAGCCAGCATCTCTGAGCTGAGTGACACCGCTGATCCAAGGCCCCTGGAGAGTCCTCAGAAAGTGGAAGAAGTCAGGGAGGAGAAGAAGGAGGGGCAGGATGAAGAGCCGAAAGAGAGGCAGGACGAGGACGAGGAGCCCAGGGAGGGCCAGGGCACGCAGAGGCCAGCTGAGGTAGAGGACCTGGACTCCTCGCTGGTGTCGGTGTTCAGGGCTGAGTGCCCTTCCCTCTCAGAGGAAATCCTCCGGTGCCTCAGCCTCCATGACCCAACTGATGGAGCCCTTGACATTGATCTCCTTCCCGCGGTGGCTTCTCCCTCCCTAGGCATCCCCTGGGATGGGCAGGCTCCCTGCCAGCAGGTTCTTGCCCACTTGGCCCAGTTGACCATCCCCAGCAACTTCACCGCACTCTCCTTCTTCGTGGGATTCATGGACTCCCACCGGGATGTCATCCCTGACTACGAAGCCCTTGTGGGCCCCCTACACAGCCTCCTCAAGCAGAAGCCAGACTGGCAGTGGGACCAGGAGCATGAGAAGGCCTTCCTGGCCCTGAAGCGAGCCCTGGTGTCTGCCCTCTGCCTGACGGCCCCCAACCCCCAGCTACCCTTCCACCTGGAGGTGACAGTGAGCCAGGTGGCCCTGACGGCCACTGTCTATCAGGAGCACTCAGGGAGGAAGCACCCCATTGCCTATACCTCAAAACCCCTCCTCCCTGACGAGGAGAGTGAGGGCCCCCAATCGGGGGGAGACAGCCCCTACGCTGTGGCCTGGGCGCTCAAGCATTTTTCCCGCTGCATTGGAGACACCCCAGTGGTCCTGGACCTTTCCTATGCTGCTCGCTCCACAGTGGACCCTGAGGCGTGGGAGGGCCGCAGGGTGTCGAAAGCGTGGTTGATCCGATGGTCCCTCTTGGTACAGGACAAAGGCAAGAGGGCCCTGGAACTGGCCCTTCTCCAGGGCCTGCTGGGGGAAAACCGGCTGCTGACTCCCGTATCCTCCATGCCTCGTTTCTTCCAGGTTCTGCCTCCTTTTTCTGACCTGTCCACGTTTGTCTGCATCCACATGTCAGGCTACTGCTTTTACCGTGAGGACGAGTGGTGTGCTGGCTTTGGTCTCTATGTCCTGTCTCCCACCAGCCCGCCTGTCTCCCTTTCCTTCTCTTGCTCGCCTTATACACCAACCTATGCCCACCTGGCTGCAGTGGCCTGTGGCCTGGAGCGCTTTGGCCAGTCCCACCTCCCTGTGGTTTTCCTCACACACTGCAACTGGGTCTTCAGCCTCCTCTGGGAACTCCTGCCCCTGTGGAGGGCCCGGGGCTTCCTGTCCTCCGATGGGGCCCCACTACCTCACCCGAGCCTGCTCTCCTATATCATATCCCTCACCTCTGGCCTCCCATCCCTTCCGTTCATCTACCGAACCTCCTACCGTGGCTCCCTGTTTGCTGTGACGGTGGACACCCTGGCCAAGCAGGGTGCACAGGGGGGCGGGCAGTTTTGGAATTTGCCAACGGATGTGCCAGTTCCCATGGTGTCTCCCCTTACTGTGGGCAAGAGGCCTAACTTGCTGGCATTACAACTAAGTGACGGCACCCTGGCAGATATCATTGCCAAGCTGCAGGCTGGGCAGAAATTGTCTGGCTCCTCACCCTTCAGTTCTGCCTTTAACTCACTCAGCCTGGACAAGGAGAGTGGCCTGCTTCTGTTCAAGGGAGATAAGAAGCCCAAGGTCTGGGTAGTCCCGAGGCAGCTCCGGAGGGATCTGATTTTCTCCGTGCATGACCTCCCCGTGGGGTCCCACCAGAGGCCGGAGGAGACCTACAAGAAGTTGCGGTTGTTGGGGTGGTGGCCTGGGATGCAGGAGCATGTTAGAGATTATTGCAGGAGCTGCTTGTTCTGCATCCCCCGAAATCTTGGCAGTGAGTTGAAGGTTATTGAGTCCTTGTGGCCCCTCAGGTCGACTGCCCCCTGGTCGAACCTGCAGATTGAGGTGGTGGGCCCGATCACTGTGAGTGAGGAGGGCCACAAACACGTTCTGATTGTGGCTGACCCCAACACCAGGTGGGTGGAAGCATTCCCGCTGAAGCCCTACACGCACATGGCCGTGGCCCAAGTGCTGCTGCAGCATGTGTTTGCAAGGTGGGGTGTTCCCGTGAGGCTGGAGGCTGCCCAGGGTCCCCAGTTTGCCCGGCATGTTCTGGTGAGCTGTGGGCTGGCCCTGGGAGCCCAGGCTGCCTCGCTGTGTAGAGACCTCCAGTTCCCTTGCCTGACGAGCTCAGGGGCCTACTGGGAATTCAAGAGGGCTCTCAAGGAGTTTATCTTCTTGCATGGCAAGAAGTGGGCAGCTTCCCTGCCCTTGCTGCACCTGGCCTTCAGGGCCTCCTCCCTCCAGGCCACACCATTCCAAATCCTGACTGGGGGTCCAGAGAGGCTGATGGAACCCCTGTGGTGGGAGATGAGTTCTGCAAATATTGAAGGGCTCAAGATGGATGTCTTCCTGCTGCAGCTGGTGGGGGAGCTGCTGGAGCTCCACTGGAGGGTGGCCGACACAGCCAGCGAAAAGGCAGAGAACAGGCGTTTCAAGCGGGAGAGCCAGGAGAAAGAGTGGAATGTGGGCGACCAGGTCCTCTTGCTGTCCCTCCCCAGGAATGGCAGCAGTGCCAAATGGGTGGGTCCCTTCTATATTGGGGACCGGCTGAGCCTGTCTCTCTACAGGGTCTGGGGCTTCCCAACCCCGGAGAAGCTTGGGTGCATCTACCCCAGCAGTCTGATGAAGTCCTTTGCCAAGACCGGCACCCCCCTGTCCTTCAAGGTCTTGGAGCAGTGAGTCGAATCAGTGAAGGGGGGGCCATACCCCCAGGGTCCTGGGCTGCTGCTGCTAGGCCTCCCCCTCCCCCCACCAGTACTCCTTTCAAAGCCACCCTGGGGGCCTCCATTGTGCCTTTTGTGAAGTTACTTCATAAAGCTTTGCTGAATTGCCTTGAACTGGGAACTAGTGTCCCTGTGGGAGAATCTGCTGTCAGATATGGGCCTCTGGCAGTTTCACCTGGGGGACTGCAAAGTCCCCTTACTGAGGTAGGCCAGGCTCAGCGTCTTTCCCCAAGCATCCCCTTCACCCTGTCACACACGTGCAGGTGTACACTCATAGACACGCACATGCACACCCAGAGCCTGACTTCTGGCTACCAAGTCAAGAAACAGTGTGGTTCAGGACCTCAGGCCTGGAACCACACTCTCCTCTCTTAAACAGAAACCTCAAATGTAGACTCCTCTCCCCCAGTCTTCAAGTGGGGACCCTTTGCCCTTGAAGTTGTCACAGTTGACGCAAGTCCATGCAGGCTATGGAGAGGCAGCCTGTTCCCAGTCTCATGGTCAGTTTTCTCAGGCCAGGTGAGGCCTACCCAGCTGTCAAGGAAGGGCTGGCAGTCGGGCCCCCCTAGACTCAGAGCTGGGGTAGGAGGGTGGCCAGCCATGGATGAGTTTGTCAGCACAAAAAGGCAAGGGGGAGACCGAGTCAGCCTACCTCATTGAACTCCAGCCAATGGAGACAACCCTGACCCCTGCTGTGATGGTATCAACCGCACAGGAATCAAGGATCTCGATGCCAAGTGTGGCGTCTCTACCTGAAGAGCTGCTTCAATGAGGCCAAAGGGCCCAGGCCTCTCTTTGAAGAGGGGAGGGTGTCTGAGATGAGCAGCGTGGCAGACAATGAGGTGCTGATGTGGCTCTACCTCCCAGCCCCACTCCAAAGCCCACACAGCCCTCCTCCCACCTCCACTGTACCTTACATCCCCCCCCCCATAGTGTGTGACTGCTGTGGTTGGATCACTCTCCCCTGCCCCCATTCCCTGGACCTGCTTTCTACGTAGAGCAAAATCTGGGTCTGCCAGAGAACTCTGCAACGATCATGCTTACAGCAAGAGTGAGTTCTCATAAGTGTGTGTGCTTACACTCACTCTGATTTGCTGCTGCTGCTAACAAAATAAACTCCAGTGAAGGCCAGCACTGTATCCCTCTGGCTGGGCCTCTCTTATTTCTCCAAAGCTGAGCCAGTCTCCTGGCCTAGCTCAGGCTGTCAACACACTTGGCATTGCAAGAGCCAGAATAGAATCTGCCATAGAGTCTAATGTGATATTTTACAGCCAAAGAAATGCCCAGAGAGGAGAAGTGACTTACCTAAAGTCACACAGCTAGTTTGCAGTTGAGCTGGGACTGGGATTAAGTTTCCTGACCCTCAGTTCACCATGGACAGGGTTCTGGTGACAGGTGCAAGTGAGAGAATCCCTCCAAATCCCACATTCATATTCCCGCCAGCTCCTCATCTCCCATATCTTATAGATAAACTACTAGATGTTGCCCTGAAACCATTTCCAGCTGCTCTGTCCAGGAAAGAATGGGAGACATGAGAAATTGAAAGGTGAGCTGTAGGAGCTTTAGCAGAGACCTTCCTTTCTTCCCCTCCCCACTTTTCCTCCCGCTCCCTCTATGGTATGGCCAACCTCATTCTCCCTCCCCAGTGCTATACCCATTCCCCATGCTAACCACATTTATGATCTTACACCTTTTTATTTTTCATTTGATTTATCAATAAAAAGGTCAATATGGAGCCAATGTCCAGTTCTTTTTTAACTTCGGTTCAATTATGGGAGTGAGGAGGGTGGGGGGCAGCCATGGGGCATGACTGCTGTATGTTTCCCAGGCCGACTTGCAGATCTGAAGACCTGGTGGCACCTTTTCAAGTTCATCTGACCCCAGCTCTTATTTTGTAGATGAGACCAGCACTCAGGTAAGTGATCTGAAGGCCCCCCGCTAGCTCATGGCAGGGCCAGCAGGAAAGCCCAGGCTGTGGCTTCCAAGCTAGGGCTCTTTCCAGTTTGTGTCTTGAAGATGGGCAGGGTGGGAAGATGAATGAAGACTGGCGTCAGGGCATGGTGTCGACACCGAGCAGCTTAGTTGTATTGGAAACATGCCAGATTTAGGTTTGAATACTGACTCTATTATCTGCTACTTATGTGGCCTGTTTCCTGAGGTCTTGGTTTCCTCATCTATCAAAGGCACGGTAACAATTCCTAAATTATGGATGGTGCAAGGACTGTATGAAATAATCTGTGCAGAGAGGTTTCTGTGGTGCCGGGTATGTAGTAAGCATTTGTCAGCCGTGGATTGCATGTTTGCGTTTCCCCAAATTCATATGTTGAAACCCTAACCCTGAGGGGAATGGTATTAGGAAGTGGGGGGGCTTGGGAGGTAATTAGGTTTAGATGAGGTCACGAGGGTAGAGCCCCCACGATGGGATTAGTATTCTTATTGGATGAGAAAACAAAACAAAGAGAATAGAACGAGAGCTTGCTCTCAGTGTCAACCCTGTGAAGACATTGTGAGGAGATGGCTGTCTGCAAGTGAGGAAGCGAGCGCTCCCTAGCCACTTCACTTGCTGGCGCCTTGGTCTGGAATGTCCAGCTTGCAGAACTGTGAGAAGTACATCTTCTGCCGTTTAAGCCACCCAGTCTATGGTGTTTTGGTTAGAGCGGCCCGAACTGACTACGAGGATCACACAGTAGCTAACATTTCTCTCTGTCCTGCCTCTAAAACTCCTGCTGTGACCGCCCCTCAGGCTCAGAGACCTTCCTAAACCTGGCCACACTTCCCAACTTCAGGCCTCTGCTTCTTGCTGCCTTTCTTTCTGAGCTGGGGGCCGACAACTCCCAGTTCACGCATACACTGCCATTCAGTATTTACAGAGCATCTACTGTGTGCCAGGCCTTGATTAGGTGTGGAGTGGATAGTAGGTTATATGGGTTAACATAGGTCTCTGCCTCTTTGGAGTCCATGGTCAGGTGAGGGAGACAGTCCAGATACAGTTCCGAATACAGTTCCAGGTGGCACGGGAAAGAGTGTGGCATAGGGGCCTGTGGCACAGGTGCCTACAGTCTCAGCTCTCCCATTACTCAGACAGGTCTGGTCTTCCCTGACTCCCTGCTCCAAGCATAATGCACAGGTTATTGGTACAGGTCAGCGAGTGAAAGGTTCAGAATGCCTATGTGGAAGACTGGTCAGAGAGGTGGCTCAGCAGCATCTCTTCATTTTTACTGAAGATGACTTTAAGCAATATTAGATTTTGCCCACATTGGCCTCTTGAGCCTTCTGATGGTGAGATGTCTCTTCTTCACCATTGGACAATTTGCAAGGTCTGAGCAGGGACTGGAGATTCTTCCTGTTTTTGAAGGAGTGAATAAAAAAGGTTTGTCTACAGCTGAGCACCTCGGGTACCAAAGACTACCAGTCACTACTTCTCTTATTTATACTCATCACCATCTTCCCTTCTCCTTGGGGGCACTGGCCAGTGGGTTTAGCCAAGTCTCTAACTGAGAAATTACAAAGTCATCAGCATGCAGACAGTCCATGACATAAGCAAACTATAGAGAGCATCCCACACTGCATCCTATTCCCATGTTAAAATGTACATAAACTATTTGGTGAGATCAGGACCCCCACTGCCACCTCGCATGCCTCGCTGAGCCAGGTTTTCTTAGTGACCGTCTGCTAAGTCCTGTGTTCGTGGGTAAAGGTGAGCATGCCTGAGAGAAAGAAGCATTGGAACAGATAAATGGCCACAGTGAAACAAAATAAAAATTCTGCCTGCTTTTTAAAGATTGTCCAAGAATCCTTGGGACGTGTATGAATTTTGACTTGTTTACTAATTCATACAATAACAGTAACTTACACACATTGAGCACTTTCTCTGGGCCAGGCACGGATCTGTTTTCCAACCCTGTCAGGTAGATACAGTTGTCTCCATGCAGAGACAAAGAAAATGAGGCACAGTGAACTGACTTGCTCAAGGTCCTGTGCGGCTGCTAAGTGAGAGGCTCCTGTGCTCACTGTCTTAACCACTGTGCCCACTGCCTCTCATGCCAGTGCATTAACTGTGTTCCTGGAGCTACCTTCCCTCCACAGTCTATGGCCTTCCCATCTTTTATTAATATGTTATATAGTCTCAGCTAAGATCTCTCCATTTCAGTTTGGCCCCGATTAATGTGATGTGTAGACTAAAACAGGTTCTGGTTGACCTCAGTTGGGTCCGAGAATGATTCCTTCGGCCCTGGTAAATTTTGACTCAAATGTCATACCCTCCTTTTCCAATAAGTGCCATTTTCCCTCAGCTAATAAAGGGTGTTATTCCACAAGTTTTCCCATTCTTGTAGATGGTAAAAAAAAATGAAGCAGGGAGATTGCAGCAGCTGGATTGTAAGAGACCTTAGAAATCCATGTTAAGAAATAATGGATTTCACTCTGAGACCCACTCCCCTCCTGGGGATTCCCCTGAGAAGCTCTTAGCAGTGAAGTTCATTCAGATAGATCACTACAGCAATTCCAGTGCAGAGAATGGACTAAGGGAGGCCAAGAGGCCAGTGAGGAAGCTTTTGTAGAACTCTGAGAGGTGGGTGGTTTGAGCCAGGGTGGATGGAAGACAATGGATAGAGTCCATGGATGTGAGTGATTGGATACGAGGGTTATGGGAGAGGGAAGAATTGAAGAGAAGAGCTGGTGTTCATTGGGGGAACAGGGAAGTTTCATTTGGAGACACAGGGAACAAGGGAGGGAGAACAGATTTAGGGAGGAAAGACTAATTTCAGTAGGTTGACTTCAAGCTGGGACATACAATGTATAAGTCTGAGATTTAGGAGGGAGATTCTGGACAGAGATAAAAAGTGCAGATGTTGCGAGCACATGGAGGGAAATTTCTGCTTTTGAGAGTGCATCAGATAGAAGGAATCCTAGGGCAGAACCTTGAAGAAAACCAACAGTTAAGAGATGGGCAGAGGTAGAGGAGCCTGGAGAAAAATGGGGCTTGGACAGAGAGGTGGAGGGAGAGCCCAGAGAGTACACAGTCAGGGAAGTCAGGTCAGATATTGCTTCTAGAAGGAGGATGTGGCCAACAGGGTCAGGTGTTAAGGAGAGCCTGAGTAACAGAAGGACTAGGAAGTGTCTGTTGACTTCAGTAACATGGAAGTAGTGGCCAGCTGAGCACAATTTAGGTGGAGTTGTGGAGGCCAGAGCTGACTTAAGAGGTGAGTGACAGGTGAGCACAGATATTTGGCTCTAAAAGGGAGGAGAACGATGCCATTTAGCTGTGGGGACATATAGAGCCCAGAATAACTGTATATCTACAACCATTTCCACACCCATTTTTTCTCTTTCAGGTTTAGGAGACTTGAGTTTATTTAACTGCTGAAGAGAAGGAGTAGGTAGAAAGGGACAAGTTGGACATATCAGAGAGATAAGAGAAAAGAAGAGGGTGTGTTTGGAAGAAATGGGATCCATGGCTGGAGGATGAGGATAGCTGCATTGGCAAGAGGAAAGACACATCCACTGAGCCAGGTAGGAAGAAACCCAGATGAGGAGGACAGTGAGTTTCTACATATGGTGATGGAAAGGGTTCCTGCCTGGTGTTTCTGCTTTTTCAGTGAAGTAAGATGTGAAGCCATCTATTGCTGACAAGTGGGGGCAAAGTTGGTGGGGTAGAGGTTTAAGGAGAAAATGGAAGGCTTCACTTGGATTTTGTGGAGGGTGAGGAAAGAGTCTGGCAAAGGAAACCACAGAAGAATTGCCTGGAGCAGGGGTCCCCAACTCCAGGGTCACAGACTGGTACCAGTGTGTGGCCTGTTAGGAACCAGGCTGAACAGAAGGAGGCGAGTGGCAGACAAGCGAGTGAAGCTTCATCTGTATTTACAGCTGCTCCCCATCGCCTGCATTAGTGCCTGAGCTCTTCCTTCTGTCAGATCAGCAGCGGCATTAGATTCTCATAAGAGTGGGGACCTTAAAGGGATCTAGGTTGCATGCTCCTTATGAGAATCTAATGCCTGATGATCTGAGGTGGAGCTGAGGCGGTGATGCTAGTGCTGGGGAGCAGCTGCAAATACAGATTATCATTAGCAGAGAGGTTTGACTGCACAGGGACCAAAATAAATCAATTTCTTGCAGACCCATACCAAAACCCTATCAGTGAGTGGCAGGTGACAATTAAGCTGCATCTGGTGGCAGGCTTTACAATGGCAAGTGAGTTGATGTACTTCAGTTGTACAGCTGCACCTGGTGGCAGTCTTTAAGTCAGAATCTGACACTTATTTTAGTCTACATATGGCCTGCCCATTATTTTATTTACCACTTCTGTCCATGCCTCTTTCCTGCACTGCTTACTAGTCTCAGTCACTGTTTTGGTAAGGCCACAAACTACCCTAGCCAAAAGGAGTAAAAAACAAACATCTCTGGAGAGCTTCTTTGAAAAGGGGGAAAGACCCAATGATGAGACAGCAGAAGACTCTGAGACTGCCAACAAAAAGAAAGCTGCATTTTAAAAGAAAATACCAAGAGTCCTGCTTAAAGGGACCTACTTACTGTGTGTTTATTACAACAGATGATTCACATTCTTCAAGCCTGCTTTGTGTATGTGGTGACTGGATATCCAATATAGCCATGAAACCTTCAAAACTGCTTTACTACATGGACACCGAACACCCTGCATTAAGAACAAGCCTTTGAAGTTTTTCAAAAGTAAAAAATGTGAACACAAAGAACATA